TAATCAATGCTTGTGTGCTGTCATTCAGGTGAAAGAAAACTGTTTCCTAAATGTAAAGTTCACTCAGTGAGATAATTCAGGCTGCAATTTTTCTGAATAATAGTGGTTTCTGTATTAGTGTTATCTGTCCAGAATGAATGCTAGGAGTAGCCATTTTTCTTCCTCTTTATTTTTACTGTCCAGTTAAGGAAAAACTTACATAATTTAACCTGAAGCCACTGGAGAGGGTGTCAGAACAGGCAAAGAAGTTTGTCAGAAAAAGTCCAATTGCTTTTGTCTAATATAGCCTGTGTTATCGGATCAGTCCTCAGACATCAAAGTGTTCTGAGAATTTCAGCTCCATGAGAGTATTGTGATATTGTCATACTTGTCTTTATTTTCCAGAAGTACAAGGAAAATACTTTTTTTTTTTTCCAATCAAGTATTTCATCTCGCCCCAGTTTAACAACAAACTATGTCCACAAAAGCTGAAGCAGTTCCTCGTGGAAGACAGGTCCATGACCAATTCATGCACGATGGCAGCTCATGAAAAATGAAACAAATAAACAAATATTGAGCTGATCTAAGAATAAAAAAGATTTCTGAAAAATTACCATCCTTACCATGGATTTTTGTGGAAATCATCTACTTCTCTGCAATGGGACTCTGCAGCTCGTGGTGAGCGTGGCGAAACAGCGAGGCCACGCCACCCTGAGCCCCAGCGCTGCGGTGCCCCATGTCAGGTCAGGATCATGCTCCTCCTCAATCTGCCCCAAGGGCCCCTGTGAACAAGGAACCGGTTTAATTTATCTGATGGACTCCTGTGGTCTCAGAGCCCAAGCACTCGTTCTCAGTATGCCTTTAAAACACTGGAGATAATGAATGCATTTCTGCAGTTCCTCTCTTCTTCGGAGTCTGAAAGCCCGTAACTTTGGCCCACTGGCTAATGAGGAGCAATGCACCAAAAGCCATCGGGGCTCTTCCATTGGAGAATTAGAAGCTGCAGTATAAATATATTAAGTGATCAAAAGTACACATCATTCTTTACACTGCAGGGGTTGTGCGGAGGGGGATGTTCTTTTATATACTGAAGTATCATCCTGAAAACGGCAATTAGTCCTCACTTCGATGAAGAGTTTGGTCCTGCAAATTGCATATACTACTTTTTTGTATTATTTTTCTGAAGAATCAGATTCATGAAAATGAAGGCAGTTTTGTTAAGTCAAAGGGCTGCTATACACTAGACTAAAAAAAAACAAAGCAAAACCCAAATCCTAATCACTGCATGATCATTGTTTGCGTTTTTTCCCCAAACTAGGCACAAGATGAGATTAAGTGCTTCCCATTTAATTTCATTCACTTGTGCATCTTGAAATAACAGCGGTGAGAGAGAGCAGTTGTTTAGGTTAACAAGGTGTGTGAATACTGTACTTTTGTTTTAATAAGCACACCCAGCATTTCTCTACAATATAACCGGTGACCCTGCTTGAGCAGGGGGGTTGGACTAGATGGTCTCCAGAGGTCACTTCCAACCTCAACTCTTCTGTGATTCTGTGATATGGATGGAGGTCATTACAAGAAACGGGAGCTGCCAGAGAGAATTTCATACCTGAATCCCCTGAATCCAAAATGATGTCCACAGCCTTGCCACTAACTTACTGATGGGGCAGGCCAGCTCTGTAGCCATCATTAGTTACTTTCTAAAATCCCCTTGGAGCTCACTACCACTGTTGTGCCACCTTTCTTGCCCATAGCGATGAGGAAGACATTTCCCTGGGAATGCAAAGGTTTTAATTCATGTCACTGGACCATGCAGGTATCCTCTATCGGATAAAATAAAGAAACAAAAATACAGAGGGCATTGGCATGCGCAAATGTGTAAGTTTAGACTCCCAGAGAATTTTATGATGTTAAATGTTGATGTCTTTTCCCTCTGAAGGACTCTGTGCGAGTATGCAGGATGATGCTCTCTCTGGCCCCATGAATAACGAATCACTTCTATGCCTAGAAGCAACCCCGAGGGACAGCCTCGTCGTGAAGGTAATGCTCTCAGGAACTGGAAGGAAGAAAACCCAGACTGTCATTTCTAGCAATCTCTAATTAGTGTGTTGGTGCTTAAAAGGACTGTACAGCCTGTCTGCTGCCTGGGTTGCAAAAGTGAAGTGTTAGCCACTCTTGATTTTTGAAAAAAAGAAACAAGTTATTCCTCTCTAATTCCCTTCCTGGGGGGATGCAGGTAGACGGACACTTCCACATTACCTTAAGAAGACACTCAAATGATGGGACTCAAAATTTCACTGTTGCCCAGCATTTCTGGGTGTCACTAAGATGCTTAGCCCTCCTCCTGCACTACCCCAGGAGCCTGAGCATCTAATATTTGGAACTAAATGCCAAAACATCAGGTTTCGGGAGGCCTTTGAGGCACTGGCATTTTTATTACCGTGTTATCCTTCATTCCCACCCTAAGATTTAGTTCTGCACCTCAAGAAATAAAACGACTCCAAATGCCTTCTCCCCAAGCATCATCGCTCTTAGTAACCTTTTCATAGACTGCCTCCTACCTCTTCTACATCCGCGTGGGTTGCCCAGTCCTTTCTGCCACGAGGTTGGCAGAAATCATCTCGCAGTTTCCCTGCAGGATAACACCAATTTGCAGGGTGTGCTGTTTCAGGCAAGCAGTCTCTTTCCCACAAAGGACAGTGAAGAGATGCGAACACCGAACGTCCGTATCCATCAAACAATGTTTGGCCTAAGTATTAGTCTGAAATGCTGCTGCCAGTTCCCAGCTGTGACTTTTGGCTTGTTTTTAACTCCCCATTTCCATTCATTCCTACTATTCAAAATTAATGTAATATGAGACAGCCTGGTGTAAGGCCTGCAGTGCCATTTATATCTTCTGTATAGATGGGGAAGGTAATTGCTTCAAATATTCACTATTCACACTTGACTACAGTAACTTTCTGGGGAGTTTTAGCTTTCCCTCTTACTGAGGTTAATAGTGTGGAGACTGTGAGAATATTTTGCAATATTTTTATGCATGTTCTCCATGGTTTCAGTTTCCCACATTTTTTTTTGGATTAATATTTGGGAGGAGAAGGTGTTGTTCACTATTTTTCTGCCTGCTGTAAGGCTGAAGCCTTGTCTTGGGTTGGGAGAGTGGGAGATGGGGAATATCTGCACCTCATTGTCTAGCTAACCTTGAGTTCATTTGTCCTTCGGAGCTGCAGAAAGCAATGGGAAGCTTCATTTCATCTTTACCGGTAGCAAGCATCTTAAAAGACATGCCCTATTTAAAACCTACTGAAGAAGAAAAAGGAAAGGGGATAAGCATGCCTACAAAAGCATCCCTTTTCTCCAGTTGTAGGAAGTCCTGGATATTTTTGGCCTAAGATTTCTGGCCTGGTTACTTTTACTTTCCATATCCAAAAGACCAATAATACCTGAACTGTTTGCAGAAAGCACTCTTGCTCCGTTGTAAGTTGCTTTCGATTGCCAGTCTTTCTCTTAGAAGGATAAATCCCAATCCATGATGGATTTCAGTCTTTTTCATGAACCCATGAAGTTAAACATTAGAGCAATGCCTTGTACGCAAAACTCAAATAAGATTGTGCTCTCATAAGTAGGTAGAAACTGCTACGTATAAGTTCAAGCATTACCTGAGAAAGCTACGTAAAGGGAAAATTTCTGTCCTGTTTCAAATAAACTGGAATTTTGTAACCTGTCATGGATTTGTACTCAAGAAATGAATGACAAACTCTTAGGGAAAAATTCAGAAAGAAGGGGTTCAGACTCTTCTAAACTTGCAGGAATATAATGCAAAGATCAGCAAAATCAATGGGAAGCCTCCCAAGGATTTAAAGGGCTATAAATCAGGCCTATGAAATGGCCAGTCCAAAGGGATTGTTATAAGCAGTGGTTTTGCAATATCAAAATCCCAAATCAAAATGAAAAAAATATTTAAGAGCTTCTTCTGAAACAACCTATGTTGCTCCCAACAAATCCAGTCGTAAAACTTCTTTAGAGATATAATTAAGTTCAATGAAGAATATCTAAGACTCCTTGACAGTATGGCAAAATATTTTTAATGGCTTGGTTTATGCTTTTGAGCAACACACTCCTCACATGGATTAGCCCACTCTGAATGGAAAGTTTACAGACTTCTCTGTTATTGTTTTCAGACAATTCACAATATCTTCACTTCAACAAGCAGACACGAAATAATCAAACTTGAAAACTGAAAGAAAAGACACAGTGGTAGGTATGGAAAACAGCAAACAGAGGGTGAGGATATATTCTATACGATATATTCTAAATAAAATGCCATTAATGTGAGAGTATAGCATGAGATTTAATAGCAAATTCTTCATATTACACGTGAAGCTGATAACATACATTGCCAGTAAGCATTGTTCACACTGAACAGAAGTAGTACAAGGGAACCATGCCATAGCAACACGGCACTTTCAAATGAGATAAAACTTTAGAAAAATTTGTTTGAGAAACATGAATGATTAAATTCTTTGAATACCATTTGCATCTATTTTCCACTTATGCTATTATTGCTGATAAACCAGCCTTCTGAAAATACATCTCATTTCTCACGATGGTTCGGCAGTCCAAATGCTACTGCATTTTATTTCAGTAGCAAAGACTTGTTGCTAAACCAGCAGGCAATGATATATCAATCCAAGACATGAACCTTCAGAATTGCTGTCTGGGCTGCCCACAGCAGTTCTGTAAGAGTTTTACATAAACGCAAAACCAGGAATTTGAAGTTAAAAACTAAAACTTGCATGCTTACGTTTTAACAATTTTAAGCTCCTCTTACATAAACCTGATGCCAGCTACGACTGCAACAATCTGAAGTTAGCGTTCTCTGCTTTAAAGCATTTGGTTCACAATCCTGGTTTCTGCAGGATGACCTCCCACCACTGATAGTGGCTGTACGTGCTGTTCTTGCCCGGTGTGCATGTGTGCGTGTGTGCGAACCCCGGCAGCTGCAGTGCAAGCAGCTGCAGGGACACGTGCTCCCAGCTCATCTGTGTGTGCCTGGGGGTGAGCGTGTAGCTGGAGGGCTTTCCTCTTGGAAATTTGGGGATTAATGACACGTTAAGCCCTCTCCAAGGGATTGGATTGAAAAAGGAAAAAAAAAAAAATTGAAACAGGCAGGCAGGCTCATGTCTTTTCCTGCAAAGTTTGGTACTTCAAAAGTTAACTTCTAAGGAACTGCAGATATATGGATAAAGCCTCTCTCGGACAATATGCAGCAGCCCTCACCTTCCCACCAGCATCTCCAGCTTGTTGCCTACCTCTGCTGCATTCCCTTGTTGCTCATTAGCACGGAGTCCGCTCCACTAGGTAAGGTTTTTGTACTTTTTAATAGTTATTATTTGATAGTCACTGGGGGGATAGAGTTCATGTGCATTTTAAACTGAGATGATCTTGTTGACGTTCACTTTTGAATGTGGGTTAGAGTAATAGAGGACTATTATTAGAAAGGGTATCCAAAACAGAATAGAAGTAAGGTTAGAATAAACAATTTACAAGGTAACGTAAAAAGCTGACAGCGATAATCAACCGTTCTTACAGGACAGAATGTTTATTGTCCATTAGAGGATGTTGTTTGACTTCTCTTTCTCATTTAACTAGAGAAATTACAAACCTCTGAAGAGTCCTACTTTCTGCGAGAAAATTTCAAGTGATTTAAGGAATATTCATTTTCCTATAAATGGAATATATGAAACAAACTGTAACAGAAGAAAAAGCGTTAAAATAAGAATCTGTGCCTCTAAGGAAAGACGTCTACACCATATATTAGAGCACTGTTATAGATTAGTTAATTACACATATAATAATACAGTTATATAGTCTCTGGCAGTAAAAGGTTCAAGAGTAATTTTTCTCCTACTGTACATATTAAATGCAAGTCCTGTTCCACTCCAGCATGGGATTCTAAGAGGAAGTAGATTTTACATAGGTAGTTTGTTTATAGAGCTTTATTAATCCTCTGCAGGGATGCACTGGAAATCATGTTAGACATTATTCAGCTAATAAAAGCAGAGTAAAAAATAATGGGAAAAGCCATAGGACCAAAACGTAGCACTGCGAGTGATTATGGGTAAAGCGTAGGTAAACTATGTGGTGCCACTCCCCCTTAATGGAAATATGTTGCCATATTTTACAAAATTTAATTACAGTAGAGTTTCAGCTAGTTTTAAGGGACTGTCAGCCAGCACCCATTAGCTGTCTGAAGATAAAACAATTTAAAGCACTCTTCATTTGAATATCAAAGGGTCACCCAGAAAGGTTCGCAGGACTAAACACAAGGCAAATGACCTTATCCTCTTTATCTTCAAACAATGCCTTTAATTTCTAAAACCTTTTGAAGGGCTGCCAGTTTTATGGAGTGTAGTAGCTACTTATCTGATAGAACAAGCTTTTCATCAAGGGGAAATGACCCTGTAACTCCTAGTAACAAAGTAACTGTTTTTCCACGGTATTTTCTTTACTGAAGGTAAAATGCGAAGACATGCTTACTAAACTGGGAATACAGACCAAGAATTAAGAACTGGCTTGCTGTCTCTTAGATAATTCAGAAGGCTTCTTAAGACTTGCTTTTTTTTTTTTTTAATACTGTGAACGCCAAATAAATGCAACTGCTCAAAAAAGTTTATATTCTGACAGATTGCCGTATGACATTATAAGGATATTTAAAAAGCCATATGCTGTTTACTTTTATGCTCTGAGTATAGCCAGTCTACTAATCCCACAAGAATTTAGCTGTGAACAAGGAACGTCTGACCAAACAGCTTTTTGCAGATGCCTCATTAGGGAGAAGGAGGTGGAAAAGTCCTTTAAAGACGGAGGAAGAACTTTATCATCTTCTGTAGTCTTATTTTAGGGAATGAAGCTCCCAGTGACTGCAGATAGTCTCATTATTTGGAGGTTTTACATCATTTCTTGTGACTGGGAAACATGAAAGGGTTACCAATAATGTCCATAGCTGCTCTGCAGCAGAAGATTAAGTAAAGCGTCAGACACAAAAGCAACTCAGTGAATCATAGATGTGGGAGGGCTGACACAACACAGAGCTTGTCAGACTTTTCTCCCATGAAATTCTGTAAATAAGTCAATCAAAAGACAATAGCTTTTTTATAGATGTATTTTAGACAAAGGTATTTATCTTAAAAGAGGTGGTTGCCTGCAACTTCATCACCAGGATGGAATTGCTCCCCTTCCCCCTGGAGCCTGTTTGTAACATACCATTGAAAAAGTTTTGAATTTTAGTGTGAGCTTCGTGCAGAGCTACCAGCCTTCCCCAGCCTTCAGCTACCAGCCTGAAATCCACTGGACCTACACTGCAAGGTGCTAAGCATATAGTGAAATCAGACACAATTAATTGTTTGCAACTTCACTCCTGTGGATTTTCCTCAACTCTGATCAGACAAATTCCAGTATAAGCTGAAGGGAAGAAAGAGGGGGAGAGAGAGGCCTGGGAAGGCTGGCTGCCTGGGGAATCCCACAGTCAGTGGGAAGAAAACTCTGGATTTTCCAAAGATCTGAATGATCTGATTTGACTTTAGAAAGTAAATGTGAATAATCTAGCATGATAAAGACTATGCAGCATCTCTCATAATTTTACAAACCCTAGATTTGCTTTCATTAGAAGAGTGAGAACAAAGTCAAGCAATCAGTTATGTAACCTGTATTGTGTACTACTCAAAGGCAACCCAGGATCTCATTTTTGAGCTTCCACTGTAAAATCTGAGCGAAAATACCAGCAGGCCACAAACTTTCCATGCTTTAAGCAAAAATCTACATGAGTCAAGACAGCGTTTCCCTGTGAGTACTTCAAACCCATTTCTACTGGGGAGCTTTCCCACCTCCCTAGGAAGCACCTCCAGCAGATGCCAAACCTGTGCCCGGCAGGCATGCATAGGGCCACCCAGGTGGCCCCATCCCAGGGTGCCCAGTGGAGCCCACGGGCCCTGGAGAGTGCAAATCCCACAGAGGCCAGGGCAGCTGTGTGGTCCCCAGGCCTTCAGCCTGGTAACAGCTTGCAGGGATCAAGCTCTTGGGCCGTGAGTGTGTTTTGGTCCGGGACATTCCAGTGACTTTAGCAATTACACTGGGGATTATTCTGGCCCCATGTCTTCACGGCTGTGGAAAGCACAGCGGACATTTATAGCACGATACAAACAAAAAGTACCGTGCAGAGCCCTTTCTTACAGAAGGAAGATCTACACGCTCTGGCTATGGCAAATAAACAGTAACAATTGCCAAAGAGAGAGGAACAATCTTTACAGCATATTGTTCTTCTGATACTACTTGAAACAATCACGTGTTGTTTATAGGTTAATATTTTATTTCTTATTTAGGTTTTTGCCAACATAACGTAACTCCATTGGCTTCATCGACTGGAATTGATCCAGCTTGTATTGTTCAGACTAGGAGTGAAATTTGATCCTATCTGATCATATACAGTCAAAGCAAAGCCAGTAGTTAGGGTTGTACAGTGATTTTTGCTTGCTGATAACTTTTCTATTCTTCTCCTTTTTATCTGAAAAACAACAGGGTTGTCCTTGCTGCAGAAATAATTCCTTCATAAGGAAGCCAAAATGGTGGAGCTGTTACAGTCTGGGGAGTGACAGATCCCCCTTCCCCTTGTAATGCGTTTCTGACGTTTTTGAGCAGCATCAATATGTCACTATAGGATTTCAGGACTTTGAAATTCGGTAGGGAAATAATTTTAGCTCACTCACTTGCCTTTCAACATTCTGATGGCAATTAATCATTATTTTCAAAGTTATACAGGCTTACAAAATACGTTTGGTGTAGGAGGTCTCCCTTTCACAGGGTTTGCCTATGTCCCATTGAACACACAAATGTGTACACTGTTTTGCTTCTTAGCAGCTATTTATTACTCTGTCCTGTACTGAAGTTGAGGATCATTTTATTAGACACCGTTCATAACAGTATAGGACATTTGTGGGCAAAATGTTTACTTTAATAGCCCAGTTCCTCAAAGTTATTTTGTCTCCAAATGCCAAATCTGAAGAGGTATTGTATACATCTAACTTCCTTTGTAGTCAATAGGAGTTGCAAGAATTCAAGACAAATCAGTGTTTGTTCCTAAATTGACAAGACAAATTGCAGTGGAGAGGAAGCATAATCATTCTAGTTTGCAGATGGGCTGGAGACATGAAGTGGCCAGCTCAAGGTCACACCAAAATCCTCTGGCAGGGCTGAGGGCTCAGAGTCACCCCAGCCCTTTGGTGAGAACAACTCACAGCCAAAACCAAACCACTGCAGGAAATTGGAGTGTAATGAAATGTTGACCCTTTCGCCATCTTGCTCATAGACTCTGAAGTCAAATGGCCACACATGGAAACGCAGGGGGACACTAAATGATGCAAGTGGGCTTTAAACGGCTTAACATTTTTCATTTGGCCAAAACTTGAATTTTCTGCCAAAACCCCTTTGATTTCCATCAGAAAAGGGTCCAAACATTTCTGAAATGCTATATGTCCTTTATCATACCAATACCATTGAAGAAAAGAAGGGTCATTCCTGCACTGACTTCATTAGAGATAGAACGTCTTTTCCCGTTTCTCCTTCTTAGACTATGTCTATAGCCTAATAAAACAACCCTGTCTGTGTTAGCTGGCTTTGGAATCGACTCTTTCTTTCTAATAACTTCCTTCAGTGTTTTGGTGGCCTGGCTTGCTTCTTCAAAAATCTGCAAACATTGTGAGAAGTAGCATTTAATGGATTTTTTTTTTTTTTGCTGCATTATTTCTTTAAACAAAGAGTTTGTTGGTAAATTTTCTCAAGGCAGTCGGACTACCGATTTGTTCAATTTTCTCTACAAGTTTGTTTCTTTGGGCATTCCAGCCTTTTTGTTCTGCCTTTCTGGCTGCTTTGCTCATGGATAAAGTATCTGTTTTGCCACTTCGCAGGTGGAGGTTTAGTGCTGACTGTTGCTGATACCCACTCCACTATAAAAATGAGTATTAACACTAACATCTGGTTGGCAGTGTACATTACTTGTTATGTGTTTTTTAAGTTTTAGTTTGAAATAGTTCAGTTTAACTTCAGTTACGACCTTTATCAGTTTTGCTGTGGCTGCTGGACTGTGTGCTTTGCCCTAACTACAGACTATTTATAGTTCTGGTGAAATCCGAAATATTTTTCATCTGACTTTGAGACACCAGTAAAACCACACGCTAATGCATGGAAGTGTTTGTACAGCTTTTCTGGAAAGAGCTTTGTGCGTTAAGCTCTTAGGAGATTTACTTAATGAACGTATGTACTCATTGCTTCTTTCTGACACACATTACTTTGATTATTCTGACGTC